CAAGTACTGATTAGTCCCAGAACACATTAGGCATAGGGGAGAAACAGTCCAGGGAATGACTGACAGCAGGTTTTTTAAGGGACTGATGGTTCTGAGAGCATGTTATACTGATGGCACTGTGGTGGCCACCAGTATTTGATAAGAATTCCTTGAGAAAATGACCATGTGCACTAGAGAGATGATTTCATGAGTTGTGGTAAAAGAGGGAGGGTTAATGGTACAAGTCCAATGTTTGTCATTGTTTACATGCTGACAAATCATCTGGAAGATCATGTGGTTTATTGTGTAATCATATTTTCCCATCCTTCATGCCCTCAATCCCATCAAAAGGTCACTTCACTATTTCACCAGTCAGGGACAAAAGCATTGCAATGCACTTTTTGGAAACAATACAGTGTATCTCAGCATGTATTGCTTTGTTTGGACTGAACCTTAGTGCTCTGGAAGGCCTAGAGTCACCCCTTTCCACTGGTATAGGTATCATGATTATTTGTGCAGAATAGCCTGAGCTACATTGGCAGCAAGTCACACCTCACAAACATTGCAATGCTTTTGTCCCTCACTGCAAGTCTGGTCTTCAGGTTCCCAGCACTTGGTATACACATAAGTCTTCACTACCCCTGTACTCAGTCCTCAGTCTGAATATCAAATTAGTCTTCCCTTGAACCCTTGGCTTAGATTTGAGTTGACTATCAGCTTTCACATCTGACCCCCCTTGGCTTTCACCTTTGACTTCAACCCTTGCACAAGAGTCTAGCACACAAGCTAGACTAAGGGTCATCACACCCCAGCCTTCAGTCTTCAGTCCCCTTGACCTGTCTCAGATTTAACATGCTGCTAGTGCACTGCCACCAGAAGTGACCAGAGAGTTATGATGTCATAATGAAAGTTGTAGCTTGTAATTATGGGACTATACTTGTCTTCTCCAGAAGTGAAAAAATGCATGAAAAAAATGCAAAATACTTGAAAAATCTGAATCTTTACACACAATATGTCACTGGATTGTGATGACATCATAAGCCAAATTGCAGGCCCTGATGACAGAATCACAGTGGTATGCTTTCCTCATCATGATTCACAAAAAAATGGGCAAGATACAGACAGAAGAAGTGCAGTGCATTAGGATTAGGGTGAGATTAGCAATGGATTAGGATTAGACTTTGATGAGGTCAGGTTTGGGTTAGAGTTGGACTGGCAAAAGGTTAACTTAGGTTTAGGTCAGGAAGTGATAAGTAGTATTATTTTTGTATGGTTTGGTTAGTGTTCTGATGACCAAGGTTAGTATTTTGTTGTATAGTGGACTACCAAATGTGTGGATTCCAATGGAATTACTGTGAGACTAGTGAACTTTAGAATGTTGTGTAGTGCAGTACCATACTGTGCTGTGGCATGAATGCTGTAGGGCTGGGACACTCTGGGGACTCTGGGGTACTGTAAAGTACTGTGATAGCATTGCAATATGTGTAGGAAGCTGACATCCTCTAGCAATTTTTTGGGGGGTTGCTGATATGGGAGTACAGTGATTAACCATAGTACATCAGCAATCTGATAATTTCTTCAGATCATCAAACCATCAGATATGATTTCAGCGCTTCAGAAAAATTGCCAAGTTACTGATGCAGTCAGTGGGAAATAAGAGAATTATGCGGGGGCCAACATGGCCAGTGTGCCAGAATATGTAGAAAAAGTACCAGTGGGAGCAATCCCTGAAGCCAATGGTATGGTCACTTGAATTGACAAGGCTCTCACCAACTTGAGGAGTAGCCTAGAAGCTGGCAGAATGGCATCCTGCTTTATGAACATGTATACAGGATGGTTACTATTTGGCAAGATTTCTAATGAAGAATTTCTGCATGCAGTGCATGACAACATTGTACATCATATGTGCCCCTGTAAGCAAGTATTGATTTCCTGGTGTAAAATTTAGAGGAATGTAACTATGGTCTTAATTGTCCAAAGCATTGATTATTCACAGTAGAGAAGTAGAAGGATATACATGGATAGTAAGCAAAGACTAATTCCCAATAAACCTGAAACATTGATGCCACTTGGTGCCATGAACCATTTGACTCAAATCTAATTCTACACAGCACCCAATGGGGATGACTGTAGTGTTCCACATAGAGTAAAAGGGTACCCTGAGTGATACAGGTATCCACAGCAGCAACTTTCCATTAGGGCCTTTCAACCAGCCATCATTGTGAAGTTTCACAGGTTCATCCCTACTGGCATGTGCATCCTGGAGACAATCAAGCAGTTGCCCAGCATCATGCAATGCATGAGAAGACATGAAGGAAAAACATATTGAATGTGCTTAATGGTTTCAGTGTAGGTGAGATCCATAAGACATGGGAAATGCTCACCATATACAGGAGAAGGCAAGGCACATGCACTCGTTGGATTGTTCGCAGGTGGTTCAAATGTGTCTTGGTTGCAAAGCATTTCTTCATAACTCTCAGCATCCCACACCCCCACAGTCTTGTCATCTGAGCCTGAGACAATCCTCTTCCCATCAGGGGAGAATGCCACTGATCTGACCAAATCTGTATGACCCTCCAGAGGGCTGCCAACCTGCACACCTCTCTCAGCATCCCAAACCCTCACAGTCTTGTCAGAAGAGCCTGAGACAATCCTCTTCCCATCAGGGGAGAATGCCACTGATCTGACCCAATGTGTATGACCCTCCAGAGGGCTGCCAACCTGCACACCTCTCTCAGCATCCCAAACCCTCACAGTCTTGTCAGAAGAGCCTGAGACAATCCTCTTCCCATCAGGGGAGAATGCCACTGATGTGACCCAATGTGTATGACCCTCCAGAGGGCTGCCAACCTGCACACCTCTCTCAGCATCCCAAACCCTCACAGTCTTGTCATCTGAGCCTGAGACAATCCTCTTCCCATCAGGGGAGAATGCCACTGATCTGACCAAATGTGTATGACCCTCCAGAGGGCTGCCAACCTGCACACCTCTCTCAGCATCCCAAACCCTCCCAGTCTTGTCATCTGAGCCTGAGACAATCCTCTTCCCATCAGGGGAGAATGCCACTGATGTGACCCGATCTGTATGACCCTCCAGAGGGCTGCCAACCTGCACACCTCTCTCAGCATCCCAAACCCTCACAGTCTTGTCATCTGAGCCTGAGACAATCCTCTTCCCATCAGGGGAGAATGCCACTGATGTGACCCAATGTGTATGACCCTCCAGAGGGCTGCCAACCTGCACACCTCTCTCAGCATCCCAAACCCTCACAGTCTTGTCATCTGAGCCTGAGACAATCCTCTTCCCATCAGGGGAGAATGCCACTGATCTGACATAATGGTCATGACCCTCCAGAATCATCTGAGCAGAAGGCCAGTCCCTTAACCCTCCTGCAAAAACCTCTGCGAGACAATGGAATTTTGGCTTGAGCACTTTTGATAGCAAGCTGTTTGATGGACAAAATGGAAGTGCAGAGATGTAGACATGCGTTGCACTTTGTGAGATTGCATTGCCAAAGTTCCAAATGAACTGTATCCCATCTTGTGCCAATGCTAATGTATCCTCAGACCCACTTTGGCCCTTTCATAGGTCTCAGAAGATGTTACCCATAAATTATGGAATACTCACTTGTAGCCACTTTGCAGTACAGGCAAGAACATCTGTAGCATTTCCAACCAAACCAAGCAGACTCATCGCCTCAAGCCAGAACAGAAACCTTTCACTTCCAACTACAGTGTGCACCAGCTTTGCCAGCCTGACGTCAAATGCAGTCCGGTATAGATGCTTCGCCCAGAATCGACAGGAATAAGATAGATGCGGCAAGATGTTTTTGGTGCACCTCTCGGGTAAATCAGGAAAGTCGGTATTGCTGAAGTAGGAACTCTCCAGTCCACAGATGTTGAATTTAAGATCCTTGCAAAGAATTTGCAATGATGCAAAGGACTGGTCATACGAGTCAGATATGTCAACGAAGTAGTCGCCACTCCGCGAACGGTCAGTTAGGAAGTCGTAGAACGATGCGTGGAGAGGGCGAACAGGAGTTGCATGGTCACTGATGCCACTTAGCACCGGAGCCATGAATTCCAAGATGACAGAAATGTCATAGCGATCATCCTCGCTTGGGAAGTGCATTCGCATCAACTTCAGCGTCTTCACAGGCAGGGGCTCCATGACCATCAAAACCTGTCGCATCACCGAACGAAATCGGGAAAGGGGTACCGGTGATGTGGGTATACCACTCTCCAGGATTGAGATGTATGTTGCATCCAGAAGCGTCTTCCCCTCTCCATATTGCAAAGTCACCACATTGTCGAAGCGTTCCTTCACTGTATGTCCAGCTCTCCTTGGCCTGACAAATTCACAGGCCAGACGCGCCCATTCGAACAACCCATTCGCCTTCTCAGCAATCTGGTCTATCTCAGTGGATCCGAATATCTTTGAGGTGGCCAATTTCTTTCGTAACGAATAGACGGATGTCACGTTCTGCGGATTCCAAAGGAACGTCATCCAGACAGGTTTTTAGCGCGTGCTGTGAATTTCCCAGCACGTACTCGATGTCCGGTAATGCTCTGGACGTCAAAAGAATGCGGAAATTGGCAGGCAAACTGGCAGCCTCGGTCGACGTGAGGAGTGACAAAATGTGTCTTCTTGACTCGTCTGCCCCACTTTCGTCCAGGGCATCGATCACCACAACCACGTTCCCAACTATCGCTCCCTTGGCCTTCGACAGCGGTTCCAAGATGAGCCGCTGCCATTGCTGCGCCACGTCAGGGGTAGCCTTGAGAGTGTGATCCTCCGCAAGAGTAGAGGCCAATGCTCGTCGAAACGCAGGGTCACGTCCAGCCAGATCGCGCGCGATGGTAGTGAACATCTTCTCTTCGCGGTGCTCGGATTGTCGGTCACGGACGAAGCAGAAGCAAGACCCAATTGCCCCCACGTCCTTGACCCACGATGCAATTGTATGGGCAATAGCGGACTTCCCCCTCCCAGCCTGACCATGAAGCCACAAGATGCGGGGCACGTCGACGTCACGACTGGTAATCCAACTAATAATCTGCTGTAAAATCTCGGTCCTCGTACCATCAAGGCATCTCTTGGTCGTGTTCAGGCCAGCCCCGCCTGCGTAAGCCATGCCATCGAGGTTCAAATCCTCGAATACGCGAGTCACGTTGATGTGAATGTTCCGGATCGTGCGGTCGCGGTACTGCTGCATCAAGTCATCTAGGGTTTTGATGTGACCATCGACAATGGTCTGCGTTTCAGATAAAATGTTTTTCCCCATTCTTTTCCCTGAAAACGTACGTATCGCATCGACACACTGGGACTATACGAAAATAAGACGTACAGAAACTCTTCGTTTCAGAATAGTCTTTGATAAATTGTGCAGAGTCACTTATCACCCGCGCGATCATTGCAAGGGTATCCTTCATGTTCTCGATATTCTTTATGGTGTCATCTTCCGCAAGGAATTCATAGGTATTCCTGATTTTATTCAGCAGATTGGATACTGCTGCGTCTCGATTAGCTTGGCTGATAAGCAACTGCGGACGATGTGAGATAAAGAATGTCCATCGAAGCATAAACGTACATTGGATGCGGCGGACAAGATTCCCAGTGCAATCTTGGCATAAGGGTGAACCTGGCGAACTCATGCGGTGAATGTATCGGATGCAAATATAGAACACGTACGTTGGAAAGAGTAGTAACGATTTCATTGAAAACTTTGAAAGGTTTGAGATACGTATCGCTGAAGTTTTCGATTTCCGTGAATTGGGTATTGGCGTCGTCGATGACACTGATGACACCACATCCGATGCGACAAATAGGATTAATGTCATGGAATGCTTTCACCGCGGCATCGACATCTTGTCCAACCGCAGCTGATACGGGTGCTGACTGAGTCTCGTCGGCTGGCCGTTGGGTCTGTCCAAAGGGGATCAACCAGGCTCATAGCATGACGAGGTGGTGGCAGATGACGTACGACCTCTGTTCCAGGCGCCGGTGATTGTTCCATTTGCTCCAGAGGACCCACATCGGTATTTGTATGGGCCCTCTCCGTCGCAGTGGTTTGATGACTTTGGAAGTTCCGATGGAAGAAGCGCTTGATCTTGGCAAGCCCTCCCTTGGATGCGCTGCTCGAAGTTTCCATATCAAGGGTAGGACTCCCTAGCGGAGCCTGAGAAGGGCCTTGAGACTGATCCCCAAAATCAACATGCTATCTCCCGGCAAAGACAATATGCGTACCGTCAGATGGCTAGGCGCAGAACCGGGTGGCTTTCCAAAATCCAAGAGACGACGATGTTTCTTCGACTGCATGCGTGCCATTGAAAAGGTGTTTCGTGTACGGTTTGTGAGTTCTGTTCGACGTCGAGGATGCGAGACGTGGTAAAGGTGAGGCTGAAGGTATTATGTAAGCATGATGTGCCCAATACGCAGACGTGCCAGTCGGCAGCCGTGGTCGCCATATTCATGTCAGTGGTTTCTACTGTCGGGTATTACCCACAGGCACTTGCCGACGTGCCTGCCTCCATCGCCAAGTGCAATCAGTCAGCGAAAGTCTACTACTGCACTGCACTTGGACAAGCGTCATCGGAAGGCTTCTCCTCCCAACCCCCCCACCAGTAAACTGTTCTACCATGTACGTGCATGAGGTGCAATGCAGGAGGGGTGCGCAGATCGACAGTTTCTTTGGCGTTCGTTGCCGCTCATCCCCCAATTGTTCTCGGTTGTATTTTCGACAATGGGGAGTCAGCCGTAGGCAAGCAAGGCCAGGGGCACACCTATGTTGCCCGACTACATGCTAGCTGGTTCTTCAGTGCACAAGAATGCTCCGCGCTCAACTTGTTTGTTTGCTCGGCCTTAGACAGTCTTAGTGAACCACAAGTCGCACTCGTCCACAACACTGCATGCTACCTTGCTCTGAAACAGTTCCAGAGGCCGGAACCAAATCAGCATTTGCTTGTTGAGGGGGCCACCGTCATGATTCACGAACGTTGTGAACGCGTGCATACCTCCGACTTCGATCACAAATGTGCCGCCATCTGCGAGATAAGAACATGAAACTACTGGGCCTTTTTTTCTCTCCTTACTACGAGGGCGAGGAGTCCCCCACCCCCAGTATTCGCCCTTATGGAGTAATTGGCTGGTAAGTTCTAAGTCGATGACTGCGTTCGCTGGCTAATAACCGGAAGCATCCACTAGTTGCTAGATAACATATTCTAGAAACAGTGAGCTGATGCTACTACCCCTTCCTTGTCTTTGGTAATGTCTAGCATGGGCGTCGCCACTGACGGTGTGGACAGGCCAGATGTCTAGGTGGTACAGTACTGTAGTCTGAGCGCTTGGCGGGACTTTCTGCGGTTTGTCAAGTCCAAAACTTGGCTAGTTCGTAGTTCACACTTAACTCCCCCTCAACGTGATCATAGCAAAAGAGCAAAACTTGATATTCCACTTTCCAAGAGGCATCTCCGGAACACATGAGTGATACATTGCAGGCATCTATGCTATATCATGCTAAATGGTACAGGACGCTATAGCTACAGTAAGTCGTAACGATCGGGTGCATAAGGAAGTGTCGTACGTAGAGTAAGATGAGCACACGTTCACGTGTGAAGAGATCGTTGAAAATTTAGCGTTTATAAAAATGGGATTTCCCCTTGCCACCTCATGATTTGAAGCCCTTGTCGACGTGATTGCGGTTTCATGTTGGATTCACCCAAGTTTGATTTGGGTGGTTCTTCCATACCTGCTGTCGATGGTTATCCTTCCTAAGGAAGGTCTTCTCGCAGGCACCCCCACCATACTGGCAGGTCCAACCTTCAAGAAGCCACATTAGCGCAACCGCACACACACATACAGCGTCGAATGACTGTGCGCACCTTCGTCATTCGTGTACATGCACTTGATGTGCCCCTTCACCTGCTCTCTACGCTTAAGTGTCCCCGCGCAAGCAGCATGGGGACAGAGGAAGGTCTTCCTATTGGGTTCTCTGTTCTTACTGGGTTCCCACCGAGTGAAACGGGTACTTGTCTCTCGCATGTTCTTTGCGTGCTAGGGGTGGTGGGTAAGGGGGATGCCGCATGTTTGCTTCTCTGCGGGGTGGATGGTGTTGGTGGGTTGGACGGAGTGGGCGGGGTAGACTTAGTAAACAAGTTCTGCGTCTGTGTGACTGGTGTCAGGAAGAATTGCCCAAATGTCAGTGGGAACAATGTGTATATGCGCCCTTGGCAGGGAACAAGCTCGGATCAGGCACCACCTCCAGGCTTGGGGCCCAAAAGGCATCTGTAAAACACAGCGAGGGGCATTTGATTCTGTGTGGGGTGGACGAGTTTGACAGGTTTTGTGCCTGTATGCATGGCATTGGTCAGGATAGTCCAGGCATTGGTGTGAATGTAGGAGCATATGCAGTTGTGGCAGGCAACATTCCAGGATCAGCCATTGCTGGGAAAGAGGGCCAAAAAGTATCTGGAGAAATCAGCAAAGGGACCCTGGGACTGATGGGTGACTAGTGATGGAAGTTCATCAGTGCATCACTTTTGCTGGCCAGAGCTGTCCAGAGCTGTCCAGCACTGGACAGAGTCCCTAGGACTACCAGCTCACAAAGTGGTCTACTGATGAATGAGATAAAGTGGTGGCAAGCTCCAAGTGATGGTTGATGGAAGGAGTCTCTGCTGGTAGGTCAAAGCACATAGGCTGGATGAGATCATGGTGCATGGCATACAGGACACAGAGCATCTGGGGTGCTTGGTTTGCACCTTCCAATAATGCAAAGACTAGCAATCTGTGTATCAAGATGCATGCCAGGTATGCACAGGAGGGAATGATAAGCCCCTTGCAAATTGGAAGTCAATAGCTACCCAGTCATGTCAGCCACCTGGACATGCCCCACCATAAACAGCCTGTTGTTGCACTGTTGTATACATTGTGGAACACAACATAGTGTCAGGACTACAAGGAAGAGTGGGAGACAAATCTTGGAGTTGTGTGGTGAGAGGATGAGGGGGAGCATTGGGGCCAAACTTGCTTGCTGACATCTGATTGCTCTTGTGATGAAAGCAGCTTTGTTTAAGTCACACGGGGGTAGTCCATTCTCATAGGAGTGTTTCTTACAGTTGCTCAGGAAGAACTGGCTGAAGAATTCTCTGTTCGAGGTAGACTGGGGATCTAGTACATCAGTAACTACAGTTTATATACATTCAGAGTGCAGTGGGAGACAAATGAGTAACTAAAAGGGGAGGTATAAAGGAAGAGAAAGGAAAAGGAAACAAAGCAGTATTATTCTGAGGTGTTAACAGTTGTGTAAGAGCATGAATCATTACATTCACCCTCCTGACCTTTGACAAGAAGGTTAAATCATTTAGTTCATTACCATGCTATCCATTGGAGTAGCAGCTGTGTGGATCATAAGTATAATCATGGAAAAAACAAGGACAATAGTCCAACCTGTGGATGGACCAGCAGTCTCTGAGTTTGCTGGGGTATTCTGGGAGCTGTCAATAGTCAAGTTGATCTCTAGGTTCTGTAGCATAGCATTGACATTTGCTGTATAGTTATTGAGCTCATGGATTGAGTTGCAAAGGTTATTAGACAGAAAAGATGTGTTGGGCTGAGCTGGGGTCTGAGAGAGATTCTTGAAGGGTTGATTGCAGAAGTTGTGAGAGTGGTTCTTAAAGAAAGTAGCTCACCCTCCTCACTTGGGGTGATCATGGTTTTCATGCCCTCCAACTTGACCCCTGGGTGCATAAGGTTCATGCCAGTGGTGCCTTTGACTACCATGAGATATGTTTGCTTGTTGTGTTCTACAGCAAGTGTGGTATTTCTCCCATGTGTCAAGTCCAGGCCTACTCCAACCAACTCTGACACTGGATGAGGTCTGGGGAAAGGTTCAGAAGCAAGTCCAACAGAAAGAACTGAACTCTGACTGGCAGAGTGTTGGCAGGAACAAAGTCCACTGAGATAAAGGTGGAGTGGAGTGAGGGCATTGGGTTTAGCTTGTGTGCTACTCCCTTGCACAATCTCAGCCCTCATATTTCAGAGGGAGTGTACAGATGGACAGATGGAGGTGACTCCAACAGACAGAGGATGGAGACAGATGGAGGTGACTCCAACAGACAGAGGATGGAGACAGAGGGAGTAGGAACTAAGCCAATATTTGTACTGAAGAACAGTGGAGTACGATACACACTTTTATACTACTATAGAGGTACAGTAATCAGAATCAGAACTGACATATGGAGACTCATAAAACTTCAAGTAAAACTTCCTAGATGATGAATGAAGGGTAGATGGAGGACACATGAATGGGTAACACAGAACATCCCCAAGAGGAAACAGTCCAGGTGCTGGACCATGCAGTGCATGTGCTGCAGAGTACCTGATCATGCACTGTCAGGGAGAAGTCTGAAGGGTAGTCACATGACTCCTCAAGGGATGGCCTGCATGGTCTGGTAGGAGAGCAGTACAAGTCTGACAGCAGTTGGAGCAGAGATGACTTGTAAATGTCAGGGGACAGGCAAAGGCAAAGTTGGTGTGGAGTGAGTGAATGACTGGCAGAAAAGGGGTGTGGAGTGAGTGAGGACCTAGGATGAATGCATGGTCATGACAGTGCCCCCTCTTAGGGCCTGAATGCCTGAAGGCCACATGTATGGGACAAGATCAACATGAGTTGATCATTTGAAATTATTTTGATGCCTTGAGGGTAATGGCTCTAGCTGCAGTGGAGCTCTGTTGGAGTCTGAAGAACCACTTAAAAACATGTGCCAGGGTTCTCAACCCTTGTCCCTTCCCCCCATCATCATGTCCTCCCAGCATCAGAGAAAAACCCCCCATGCAAGCAACCAAGAGGTTTCTTCATTGGTGTTCTCATAACCAGCCCAGTGGACTAGGTACAAGAGTTCACAGTGGCAGTGACAGCAGTCCACCTTAGAGTTGGGTATCTCTGACACTTCATACTCAAGGTTGCCATCAACATCTACTGGCAGAGGCAGAGGTTGTTGTCAATTTGGGAAAGGGTTCACCACTGCAGCTTCCAGTTGTGAGACATGGAAGACAAGATGTACTGAGCACATAGTGTCAGGGAGCTTAAGGGTGATGGAGTGTGTACCTGGCCTGGCCAAGATGGTGAATGGACCTAAGTGCCTTTTGGAGAGTTTTTCCAAAGGACAAGTGGAGTGGAAGTACTTGGCTTTGACATAGGCCTGTTCTCCAACCTTGAACTCAGGTGGAGGTATGCATTTGGCATCTGCTGGACCCTGATATCACTGCTGAGCAGTGGAAATTTTGGAGCAGAGGAAATCATGGAGGGTGGAGAGCTCAACAACATAGTCATGAGCCCTTGGAGAGGTGAAGTCTTGGTCAGGGACCACAAACAGGTTTGGATGATATCCCTTGTTAGCAAAGAAGG